ATAATTGGTCGCATTGGGAGGTGATCGTTAAGCGGGGGTCCACTGTGTATATATATATACAGTGAACCCCCGCATAACGATCACCTCCGAATGCGACCAATTATGTAAGTGTATTTATGTAAGTGCGTTTGTACGTGTATGTTTGGGGGTCTGAAATGGACTAATCTACTTCACAATATTCCTTATGGGAACAAATTCGGTCAGTACTGGCACCTGAACATACTTCTGGAGTGAAAAAATATCGTTAACCGGGGGTCCACTGTATATATATATTATTATTATTATTATCACACTGGCCGATTCCCACCAAGGCAGGGTGGCCCGAAAAAGAAAAACTTTCACCATTATTCACTCCATCTTGCCAGAAGGGTGCTTTACACTACAGTTTTTAAACTGCAACATTAACACCCCTCCTTCAGAGTGCAGGCACTGTACTTCCCATGTCCAGGACTCAAGTCCGGCCTGCCGGTTTTCCTGAGCCCCTTCATAAATGTTACTTTGCTCACACTCCAACAGCACGTCAAGTATTAAAAACCATTTGTCTCCATTCACTCCTATCAAACACGCTCACGCATGCCTGCTGGAAGTCCAAGCCCCTCGCACACAAAACCTCCTTTACCCCCTCCCTCCAACCTTTCCTAGGCTGACCCCTACCTTGCCTTCCTTCCACTACAGACTGATACACTCTTGAAGTTATTCTGTTTCGCTCCATTCTCTCCACATGTCCGAACCACCTCAACAACCCTTCCTCAGCCCTCTGGACAACAGTTTTGGTAATCCCGCACCTCCTCCTAACTTCCAAACTACGAATTCTTTGCATTATATTCACACCACACATTGCTCTCAGACATGACATCTCCACTGCCTCCAGCCTTCTCCTCGCTGCAACATTCATCACCCATGCTTCACACCCATATAAGAGCGTTGGTAAAACTATACTCTCATACATTCCCCTCTTTGCCTCCAAGGACAAAGTTCTTTGTCTCCACAGACTCCTAAGTGCACCACTCACCCTTTTCCCCCTCATCAATTCTATGATTCACCTCATCTTTCATAGACCCATCCGCTGACATGTCCACTCCCAAATATCTGAATACATTCACCTCCTCCATACTCTCTCCCTCCAATCTGATATCCAATCTTTCATCACCTAATCTTTTTGTTATCCTCATAACCTTACTCTTTCCTGTATTCACTTTCAATTTCTTCTTTTGCACACCCTACCAAATTCATCCACCAATCTCTGCAACTTCTCTTCAGAATCTCCCAAGAGCACAGTGTCATCAGCGAAGAGCAACTGTGACAACTCCCACTTTGTGTGATTCTTTATCTGTTAACTCCACGCCTCTTGCCAAGACCCTCGCATTTACTTCTCTTACAACCCCATCTATAAATATATTAAACAACCACGGTGACATCACACATCCTTGTCTAAGGCCTACTTTTACTGGGAAATAATTTCCCTCTTTCCTACATACTCTATCTTGAGCCTCACTATCCTCGTAAAAACTCTTCACTGCTTTCAGTAGCCTACCTCCTACCCCATACACCTGCAACATCTGCCACATTGCCCCCCTATCCACCCTGTCATACACCTTTTCCAGATCCATAAATGCCACAAAGACCTCTTTAGCCTTATCTAAATACTACTGTTCACTTATATGTTTCACTGTAAACACCTGGTCCACACACCCCGTACCTTTCCTAAAGCCTCCTTGTTCATCTGCTATCCTATTCTCCGTCTTACTCTTAATTCTTTTAATAATAACTCTACCATACACTTTGCCAGGTATACTCAACAGACTTATCCCCCTATAATTTTTGCACTCTCTTTTATCCCCTTTGCCTTTATACAAAGGAACTATGCATGCTCTCTGCCAATCCCTAGGTACCTTACCCTCTTCCATACATTTATTAAATAATTGCACCAACCACTCCAAAACTATATCCCCACCTTCTTTTAACATTTCTATCTTTATCCCATCAATCCTGGCTGCCTTACCCCTTTCATTTTACCTACTGCCTCACGAACTTTCCCCACACTCACAACTGGCTCTTCCTCACTCCTACAAGATGTTGTTCCTCCTTGCCCTATACACGAAATCACAGCTTCCCTATCTTCATCAACATTTAACAATTCCTCAAAATATTCCCTCCATCTTCCCAATACCTCTAACTCTCCATTTAATAACTCTCCTCTCCTATTCTTAACTGACAAATCCATTTGTTCTCTAGGCTTTCTTAACTTGTTAATCTCACTCCAAAACTTTTTCTTATTTTCAAGAAAATTTGTTGATAACATCTCACCCACTCTCTCATTTGCTCTTTTTTACATTGCTTCACCACTCTCTTAACCTCTCTCTTTTTCTCCATATACTCTTCCCTCCTTGCATCACTTCTGCTTGTATATATATATATATATATATATAAAATATATATATATATATATATATATAATATATATATATATATATATATATATATATATATATATATATATATATATATATATAATTATATATATATATATATATATATATATATATTTTATATATATATATATATTTTATATATATATATATATATATATATATATATATATATATATTAATATAATATATATATATATATATATATTTATATAATATATATATATATATATATATATATATATATATATATATATATATATATATATATTATATATATATATATATATAATATATATAATATATATATATATATATATATATATATATATATATATATATATATATATATATACACACACACACACACACAATATGCATACATACAGTGCTACCTTGAGTTTCGAACAGCTCCAAACTTGAATGATTATGTAAGTGTATTTTTGTCAGTGCCTTTGTAAGTGTATTTTTGGGGTCTGAAATGGACTTATCTAATTTACATTATTCCTTATGGGAACAAATTTGTTAGGTATCGGCACTTGAATAGCCTTCTGGAACAAATTAAGTTTGTAACTCGAGGTACCACTGTATATATGTATACACACGTACATACTCGGCCAGATCCTAGATTTGGCTGAGTGACACAAGTACTGTGTACTTTGATGCAGTGTGTAGTGTAGGTTCGAATCCTGCTGTGGGCTGAGAGATGATGTTTATATATTGTCTCTTATATTGCTTAATAATCTAACATTGTTAATCATCCTTAAATTTGTTAGCATTTTGATATGGGTAAGCACATTTTAAAATACACCTACCATCCGGCTTACGACCGAGTTTGGTTCTGAGAAACCGGTCGTAAGTCGAAATGGACGTAAATCGAACTTTACTACTGAATATCAACATCACATTTTTGTAATGACTTTATTTTATTGTTTTATTTTGGTATTTCATGTTTTACTTTACTTTTTATGCTGTTAGTACTGTATTTTATACTGTAAGGTTTAGGATAAATACTGTGTACAACACAAATAGTTGTTTATTTCCCAGAAATTTGGCTAAAATAACACGGTCGTAAGTCGAGTGGTCATAAGTCGAGCAGGTCGTAAGTTGGATGGTAGGTGTACCTACAATATTTGGTGTATGTTTTTTTAATCTACAGTAATATACATTACTCAGGGACTTGTCACCAGTGTAACATTTGTCCCAGGCTGTGATGGGCTTAATTAATGTTTTCAAAATATTCTTTTCTCAGCTGGAATGTCTGAGGACAGCGATTACACAAGTGACATCAACTATCCTGTGGGCCAGCACCCTAATTCTTCCGCCTCGCAGTTCCTCGCCGTCGCCAACCAAATGTCCACACCACAGAGATCCTTAGAAAACAGTAGAGAAAACTCATACGAGAGGGACGATGGTGGTCAGTACGGCGGGGATCTGAGTCTACAGGAAGGTTACAGTGAAGGATACAGCACACTGACAGGAGACAAGAGCACTACCAACTTGTATGACAGTTACACAATAGAGCACAACAAGAAGAACGAAAGCCATATTCTCTCTGGTGTTGGTGATGAGGACCTCTCCTACAATAGCCGACCAAACAACAGGAAAGACTATAGGTGCAGTTGGTGTTGGTGTTGTGTAACTGTTTTCTGCTCTAATTCTCCAATTTAGAGGCTTTCCTTTCTGGCTTATTAGTTTTTAAAGTCTGCATAGTCTATCCTGAAAAATATAACTTCTGGGATTCAGTAAGCACTTGATTCTCAGCAGAGTAACCACCATTTGAATTTTGACCAAATTTTACAAGAAAAGAGACAACTTGAGTAGTAATGCTATGACATTGTATTTCTCTTTGATTCTAATGTATATGTGAAACTATATATATGTTGTAGTCTTCTCATGTGTACCTGTAACCCTAGTTAACTAACTTTTCATAAGCTTGGTACTGTATTCTCTGTGTTTGAAAATGCATAGGAAGGGGCTCCCCAGGTTGGCCATGCTTGATTTACCTTCATCTATCCAGAATAATTATGAATAACCAGGATACATTGCCATTAATAAAAAATGTATACTTATTATTCTGTGCCAGTTAATTTATAAACGATGCAAAGGATAGTCATTTATAGTTTTGGTCATCATAATTATTTATATGCTCAGTAATAACCCACATGGGGACAGAACCTCAGAAGATTAATTGGTCTGTATATTTTGACCCCCCTTCTGGTATCCTCTTCAGCAAGGAGATCAAAATATAGGGGTCAATTAATCTCCTGAGTTTCTCTCCATGTGGGTTATAATTGATCATTGACAAGTGTTCATTACACTTTAGTTATTCATTATTTATATATGCAATGTTTGTTACTTTTTTTCTATTTCTTTGGCACCCAGAGGGATGTCTTACTTTATATTTTAGGGTATCTCTGATACCCTGGGTATATATATTTCCTGGCAATGTTCATGCGTTGCTGGCCTGGAATGTCCCGCATGAGTAAGGAGGGAGTGACTGATCGTGCCTCTCTCGTCCTGTCCTTGTCCCTGTAGGTATCGGCCGGATCCGTGGGATGACGATATCAGGTACTGGGATGCAATCGTGCCACACCTCGCGCATGACCTTGCTCTCCAGTTCTCTTTCCTAACGTTATCTGTGCATGGACACGCATTTCCTCTATTCTCTACTCTGCATCTCCCTAGTTTCGTCACATCTCTCATGATTTGAATACATGAATTATCATATACGTATTCACTTGCTAGATGTAAAGTTTGGTTCTGACACAAGCATGTGAGGATGTCATGTTTATTTTAAGTTCTCTTATCCTTCCTTTCAGAAAAACCTTCAAGTTTCACACTAATTTACTGCTATATTCCTAAGTTCATACATTACTTATTTCAATATTTAATGCTTAAATAATTACATATTTTATTTCCAGTATAAAAAGCTGTCATATACTTCACAGTTTTAGCATTCTTGCCTTTACTAATATTAAATAAATTTTCACTGATGACTTACTTGTATTTAGCTTTAATTTTTAAGCAAATAATTGACATACTTATATTCAGCTTTAATTTTTATCAAATAATTGACATAAGCTTATTTTGTAATGATTTTGTTGTTATATGTATGTCTTTACAGTTAATTATTTTCTTCTTTATACAATGCAAGTTTAATGCCTATATACTTATTTAGTGCTTCATATAATAATTATTAATTTTACAGTCCAACAGATCACTTTCTTGTTCTCTCTTTTACAATCCAACAGATCACTTTCTTGTTTTCTGTAATAAAGCAAGTTGATGTTCACTTAACAACAAGCTTTGCATACTATCCCAGACTGATTCCTTTAGCAGTCGCCATTCACCAAGGAGGAAAATAGTGAAATATAGTTATGCAATTATAAGACATTCCTGACAGGATGAGTTATAGTGGTTTCCTGATTTTTTTTTCTTTTCCTGAAAGGTTTTCATTTATAACTTGAGAAAACTTCATCTGATTGGCTTTAAATTTTCAACACTCTTATACCATAACTAATTTAATGCAAGTATGTATTGGCATGTGCAGGTGGTCTTTGGGCGATGTTTCGTGAATTGTTATATACTTGGAAGAAGATTGGCATTATAACTGGAGTGTGTAGGTGCCAATTTGACTGTTTTAAAGTGGCATGCTTTTGTAAAGTATCGTGATTCTGTCTCATATGAACCACTTCACTCCATAATGGCTGACACATCTGATGAGAAGGAATGTACCATTTAAATTTAGATTGTTTGGGTACAAATTTACCAACCTTCTAACACATTTAAAAAATTAGAATCATTGAATGTTTAAGTACAAATATACCAATCTTCTAAAATGGTTAGAAAATTAGAATCATTGAATTAGATGCAGTAACTCATGACTTTTTTTTGGTTGGCTTCAAGCTTTTAGGGTTGGTGTGTTTTGCTCAAAGAAGGGATTGCTTTGCTATTGGCTTGTTTAAGTCCCAATTTGCTAATATTATTAAACACATTGTGTTATTGATTTTTATTCATTAGCAGGCAAATGCCTTTTCTGATCACACTCAGAAGTTTAACTCGGATGTATTTTATAAGGAGGATGACACCATATTTCATTTAGGCTTTGTAGGGGCATATTTGTTACAAACTTGGAATCATTGGAGTTCTTGCAATAGCTGCAGGATGCCTTTTCCAATTGGCTTTAAACTTTTAGCACTGGTGTGTTTTACAGGAAGATTTGAAATATAAGTTGGCTTTTTAGGCTCTAATTTGCAAATTTTACTTGTGAACTTAATGGAGTATCATACTTTTCCAGAGCACCCAGAAATTTTGTTATAAAACTGAAAAATTAAACAGACCTTTATAAAAGGTTTAACCTACAGTATATAGTGGTTTAAGAGATATTAATTTTATTTAAGTCATACTAGAAATTTTAAATAGGTTTATTAAAAAATTATTAATTTTTTACATGGCTGTGGTTGAGTATACCTGGAGGGTGTTTTGGGGGTCAATGCCCCCATGGTTCAGTATGTGTCACCTGTAGGAAAACAACTTGTATGGGTTTCATTAGAATCCATCTGTTGGTTTCCGTGATATAGTCAGATCAACTCCCTTGGAAACCAGTTTCAATAAAGGATGAGGTCCACAGAGTTTTACATAGACCAAGTCTATTATATTTTTGTCAGGTTGTGTTAGAGCAGGTAATTTAATATAAGGTTCTGGCTTACTATATGGTTTGCCCGAGCACCTTTCCATGTGATATGGGATTGACTCTTCTGGTCGACTTTAAACTTTCAGTGTTTGTGTATACAGTGGACCCTCGAGTTTCGGCAGCATCGACTTTCCTGAAATTCAACTTTCGGCAAGTTTTTTGGGCAAAATTTGGCCTCGAGTTTCGTGATTAGACTCGTGATTCGGCGACCGTCCGGTACCCGTCCACCCGTCACTGCGTACACAAAGCCAGTCTCCCACGCCATTCACGCTCAGTGTGCCATTGTTTACCAACACGTGACCATCACCCCGTGGGTTCATACATAATAATCCATTGTTTTTTGTGATTGCAACTGCTAAATAAGTCACCATGGGCCCAAGGAAAGCTAGTGCAAGCCCTTTGGTAAAGAAAGTGAGGAACACGATCGAATTCAAGAAGTTCACCCTAACAAAGCTGTTGCAGGCCGTATTGGCAACATGTGCAATGACAGTGTTGTGTCCCACTTCAGACAAATCTTAAAGAAATGCCAGAAACAGAGCTCTCTGGACAGATATTTTGTGCGACAGGGGTCCAGTGGCTCTCAAGTTGTTCCCAGTGCCAGTGTCTTTAAAAAACAAAGAAGGGAAGTAACCCCAGATAAGGACTTCATACCGGAAGTCCTAATGGAAGGAGATTCTCCTTCCAAACAATAGTGTACACCTTCCTCCTATCCCCCCCTCCCGTCTTCCATCCACCCAGAAATCTTCAGTAAAGGTAAGTGTAATGTTATTATTATTTTCTTAAATGCATGTACTTGATTTCTGATTGTTTTCAGTATGTAAATCTTTATTTAATTTGAAAAAAAAATATTTTATTTTAATATTTTTGGGTGTCTGAATGGATTAATTTTATTTCCATTATTTCTTATGGGGAAAATGGTTTCGAGTTTCGTGAATTTCGACTTTCGGCAGGCTCTTTGGAACGGATTAATCACGAAACTCGGGGGTCCCACTATACTTGTTACACTATTAATAATAATATAATATCTATTTCTGCAAGTATATGTGCATATATATTACTGTTAACATTTCAGTTTCGAACCTATGAATTCCGACAAGGGAAACGTGAGTGTGTATGTGTAACCGACAATATTGCTATGGGAAAGTGGAATAGAATTCTTCCTCTGTAAGCTATGCATGTCGTAAGAACCGACTAAAGTGCCGGGAGCAAGGGGGCTAGTAACCCTTTCTCCTGTATACATTAGTAAAGTTATTAAGAGAAACTTTTGTTTTTCTTTTTGGGCTACCCTGCTTCGGTGGGATGCAGCCGGTTTGTTGAAAGAAGAAAGAAGATATGTACAAGGTATTCAGGCCTAGCTGACAACAGCATACTAGTATATAGAAAACCGCTTGTTATGCAGAGCATTTTGGTCAAATTAAGTCAGTTTTGTCACCGGGAGGAAGGGTTCGGGTGTTGTCGGACTGTGTAGGTGCCAGTTTGCCAATTTTATACACACAAATAGGGCAGTGGTTTACATGTTATAATGTGAGAAAGCCTCTTTCAGTTGGCTTGAAAATTGTGGTGTAGATGTATCTTACATAGAAGAAAGTTCACTTTGTTATTGAGTGTCTTGGTGACAGTTTTATCATAAAAACTGATTAGTACTTTTTTCTGTGAAATAAATTGATAATGCATCATCTGATTGGCTTTAAACTTTCAGTACTGGTACATTTCTTCGAAGGAAGATTTGCAGTGTAAGTGGGCAGTGTAAATCAATTTGCAAATTTTATATAACAAAATGGAATGTAGTTTGTGTTGCAACTGAAGAATGCCTCTCCTAATCACCTTCAAACCTTCAATACTAATGTTTGTTATGTAAAAGGAAGGTTCAGATTATTACAGCTCCTGACCCTCTTATTGTTGATCTACAACTCCTGAGAATTTTGAGGATGTTAAGCTACAGTTACTAGATGTCTTGAGTGTATTGAGCTAAAACTTTTAGTTCTCTTCATGACATTTTTTTTATAATATATTTTTAATATTACATTCATGGGTGAACAGTAAACATGTAGGGGGGCCTACAGCATCTGGAGGAATGGGAGGCAGACAAGTCCAATTCCTTTGATCATGAGCCCCTCGCCAGTATCAAGGCACCTCCTTAGAAAGGCTTTCAAGGTGTTGATCTCCAGCTCCTGTCTTTTTTGGAAAGGCTGAGTTATAGATCTTGACTCTCTTCAAGGAGTTTAACCACAGCTCTTCTGCTTATTGAGAGTTTGAAGGTTCAGTTACTATGCTTTTTATATTAGTCAAGGTAGAGGGAAATGATGTTATGGGGATACTTTTCCTGGATCATGTAGTGACTAAAATACACCTTTTTTTTTTTTTTTTTCAACAAGTCGGCCGTCTCCCACCAAGGCAGGGTGACCCAAAAAAGAAAGAAAATCCCCAAAAAGAAAATACTTTCATCATCATTCAACACTTTCACCACACTCACACATTATCACTGCTTTTGCAGAGGTGCTCAGAATACAACAGCTTAGAAGCATATACGTATAAAGATACACAACATATCCATCCAAACCGCCAATATCCCAAACCCCTCCTTTAAAGTGCAGGCATTGTACTTCCCATTTCCAGGACTCAAGTCCGACTATATGAACATAACCGGTTTCCCTGAATCCCTTCAGGTAGTAGGTTGGTAGACAGCAACCACCCAGGGAGGTACTACCGTCCTGCCAAGTGAGTGTAAAACGAAAGCCTGTAATTGTTTTACATGATGGTAGGATTGCTGGTGTCTTTTGTCTGTCTCATAAATATGCAAGATTACAGGCATGTCTTGCTACTTCTACTTACACTTAGGTCACACTACACATACATGTACATGTTTATTTATACA